AAGATGTCGGAGTAAGGTAACGTGTCATTTTGTCGGGGGTATAGACAGCGAAAGGGGTCCCCCGAGTCGGCTTTTCTCTCTCTTGATGATTTGATAGTGAAGTTGATGTTCAGGACCTACCGTCAGCCCTAAAACAATAATGGGAAAGAAAGACAGAAGGTCGGTGACGACCTGGTTTTCACACTCCGCCTTTTTGACGCAGCGACAAAGAGGGTTGAGAGATGAAATCATTGGTTGTTATAGGCGCTGGTAAGGGATAATGGGGGGATTAGTTCCAGCGAGACGGGTCCGAAAACTACTGGGAGAGGGATGGGCGTGCTGTATGTCAGCATGGAGGCAGCAACATCATCAAGTGTGTCCGTGGTGGTGGTGGTGTGGGTTGGTGGTGGGTGAGGCAGATGTCATGCTGCACAAGCACCACCCACCCAACCACCCACCCATCTATCTATCTGTTTGCATTTTCCTGACCGCTTTTGATGATGAGAGTGAAGAAAGAAGAGATGATGTGATACTGAAATGAATATCCAGACCTCGGAATCCGAGGATCCGCGAGTGAGGCTTCGGGCTTTGGGTAACATCAATCATGATGGTAACACACAAATAGAGGGGAAATCATGGGGGGTTTTTCTCCCGCCCGGTATGTATGTGTGTGTGTTTGGGTGGGATTGTTGATCGTAAAGGGGAGTTTGCGCCGGGTTTTCGGTGAAGGAATCAACTACCAGACTGAGTGAATACACACATTCTATCCAAAAGGGCCGTTCCGTTCCGGAATAAACGTCATTTCCGAGGGCTTGATTGAAAATGCAATGTTCTTTTTCTTTCATCGAGTTGATGTTGGTGGCGTTCATTCTTTTCTTCGTTGGCATATCTTCATCTGTAGGTACCAAAAGAAACAAAATCTGATATCTCACAAAACGTCAACCATTCGGCTCCGGCATTTGGGGAAGCGTAAAACGGTCGCCCCGCGAAAGAAGGAAAAAAAAAAAGGAAGGGAAGGGTGCGGGCTGGTGGCGGCGGCGGCTCCATTCTGCTGTGCCGCTGGCTAGGACGGACATATCCACGTGGGATGAACACCTGTCTGTGCATGGGTTGGGCTCAATGAGAGAGAGAGATGCCCAGAGATAAGCAATTGCTTCTTTTCGCTTGAATCAACCCACGAGGACGGGCCCGGCGTGGGTTGAGAACGACAACGGCCCCGGCTTTTCGGGACCGGGGAAGCAAGCGAGACAGAACGGAAAGGCCGGCATATTTTACACTTGGAAGATCTTGTGCTTCTGCAGAAGATCATACTATTTGTCAATGGGAGGGGCCTTTGTCCCTTTGTGTAACTCCCACGAGGACAGCTGAAGCTGGCCGGCTGCTCTGGGCGGGAGAAGGAAGGGAGGGAATCAGCTGCAGCATGCTGTGAACAACATGCAGCAGCAAATTTCCCATCATCAGTAAGCAATCTCGTCCCGACTTTTTCTCCTTCTGGTGATAAGGTTCTGACAGTTTCTTTTTTTCTGCCTCGCTCTCGCTTTCGCAAAGTCTGGTTCTTGCATTTTCATCGAAACCCCAGAAGTCTGGGTTAGATGCACGTCAAGGGGGGGCAGGCAAGGCAATGGAAGCGCCCACCCAAGCATTTCCCACATCTTCATGTGGACACCGAACAACCCCGAGACCGAACCCCTCCCATCCATATCATCACCAACAGTATGAACCCCGGCGTCATGGGATGATGAACGGATTTGATGCGTGGTGGTATGAGTGTGCAACTCGAACCAACAACAACCAACAACCCAACCCAAGCAAGCCAAAAAGCAAGGTGCTACGCTAGCGTCGTCTTGCGCGTCTAATTCATCTGGTTCTCTTTGGGAAGCATAAACGTGACGAGCGGAAGCTGGCCAACCAACGGTCGGTCCGGGGATCTGCATGATGGGTTTTGACGACATCGTGGGTTCGGAGCGGGCTCCGCGGCGGTGACTTTGCCGGCCGGGTTTGTACCTTTTCTGTCATTTCTTTTCTTTTGGTGTCCTAATATTTGACCAAGTTTGGTGAATAAACGTCAACGTTATCTGGCTGAAAAGACCATTCGGAGCATGCCCGAAATCCGGGGCCCGCGGGGCGCAGCCAACGCCAGAGTTATACGGCGCGACGATTTGCACTCTGGGGTTGAAAGACTGGTTCCTGGCGGCAGGCCATGAATGAACAGAAACGAGAGCCTGTCTCGCCAGAAGAAGAGACGGGAGGATCCCCCTCGCCTGTGTACCTGGCCTCGCCTTCCCCAGACTTCACGTGAATTCAAGGCAAAGTCCGTATTTTTGGAATCATCGCCCAAGATTCCAAGACCATCTCCTTCCGTTCTACGCCACCGGCCTCGCCTTTGCTGTCCTTCTGTTCTGAAGAGGTACTGAGCGTGGAGATTCAACCAGGGGGGCCAAGCATGTCTGGGGTTGATGAACGCCTTGCCCCCTTACCCTCACCAGACCTTGCATCTGATGAAAGCCTCGACGGTATCATCACCCCCCACACTACCTTCCCCCCTTCTCCGCTTCCGTACATGTGCATTCAAGACAGACAGACAGACAGAAACGGGGCCAAACTGTACGCGTCAGGCGCGTTCTTGATGGGGAACATCCTGGCGAGAACAACAGACCATGAAACATGGATGAGAATTGGGGGCGAAAGAAGGTTAAGGCTCAGAAAAGAATGCGGGGAGAGATATTACCACCTGTCTGGGTGGGGATTGGACCCGACGCAGGTCAACGGCGAGAGTGTTCAACCCCTAGCTATTGTCAGCGTGAGAAAGGGGGTCCGCTGTTGGAGGAGCGGTCGGTGGGTTCTTTCTCTCTTTGTTTCCATGCAGTGGTGGTGATGGGGGTTTGTGGAGAGGGAACAGGTTGTTCGTCTCTTCTTGTTCCGGTGAGAGTAAGGAGATGGTGGCGAACGAGAGCCTTGTTTAGCATGACCCAGACCCTGGGAGCAAGTGCCTAGAACTCGCGGGTTGATACCAAACACGTGTGCGGTGTGGTGTGGTGTGGTGCTGTTACACATTGTGTTCAGGGTCTGGGCGGGCGATCACAATTGTACAGGGGAGGGGAAGGAAGGTCAGTTGATTCCATTTTGCTCATGCTTTACTCCGGGCTAGGTGGTAGGGTATGGTTTCTCTTGCTCGCTATATTCCTCGTTTTATTCGTGTTGAAGCCTGGGGAGGATGACATACGGTTCATGCTATCCTTTCAAACCCCTTCAAGTCGTTCGTGATATTCAATGCCGGCCGGCTGGCAGCCTCGGGCTTAGTCTCTCTCATCTTCTTGCCCTCTTCCAGACGCGCATGATAGCGTACCTTGCTCGGCCTTCTCACCCCCGACCCCCCGACCCCCCGGCCGAGGTGAAGGATTCGAACGGAGTCCGACTTGGTACATACCTACCTACCAGGTGGTGGGGATATCATCTTGAATATATTCAAGTTAATTCTTCTCCTAATAAATTCAGCAGACTGATAACCGGACGGACGAACATCGGAGATACACCCCATCACCAATATGGAAGTTTCCGCAAGCTTTTGGTGGCGATATTTGGTGTTGGTGTTGTGCTGCTGTGCCGTACATCGCGTCTAATTCCCCCCGCTCTTTCACATCCAAAACTCCAAGGAAAAAGCAACAGCTTGCATCGTGTAAACTACACGATTTGGTGCTAGTGTTGAGTTAACCGCGCGCTTGGGCGCTTCTGGGACTATTGAATCTGTTGTCGTGGGGATGTTGGTGATTTTGAGTCGTCGTCTGGGCGAATGGGTGAGGGCGTGAGGGTTAGACGCATGTTGGCTTGGAATTGATGACGAGCTAGCTTCAATATTCAGGCGCGCTGAACTTGTGTTCTTCGTGTTAATGGTTACACAGGTTTGAAACGGATCTTCTTGATGAGGTGACGGTGTTGATGTGAGGTTCGAGTTAGTGGGCCGGACTTTGTGGTGTGATGCTCATGTTGGTGTTGATATGGGGTAACTCGGTGGAAGTAAACATTGGACCTGGCTGCTGGGTGCGCAGTAATACCGTTCAAGAATGACGCTTCCCATTGGCGGTGAGGAGATACTGTCGGAGTTTCTTCTGCTGGTAATACAATCTTGTTGATCCTGCCTGCTGTCTTATTCTACTTGTTCGCAACTAGTGATCATTGAGGTTAGCCATATCTTCACTGGTGACAATTACCACAGCAAGACTCGGTGGCGCTTCTTGGTCATGTCTTGGTCAACAACTTCAGCTGATGGTGATAGAGCCGTGCTCGTGGTACGACATCTTGACAAGACACCCCAACCCCCAAAGGAGATAACGTCCTCCACAAACCTACCATCCCTCCCCCAGAAGGAGATAACCCATCGCATCTTGTCAAGAGGTAACACTGCGTCTAATCTAACCATTTACCACCCTCCTCAGACATCTAGACGCGCGTGTGTGGCAAACCAACCTTCCCCCCTCGTTTCATTCCTCAGCTTGCAGATATAATCGTTCATCGGTTAGACGAGCAACTAAGGGGGTGTAGATAGGCGGGTGGTGGGTTAAAAACAACACCTCAGCCAGCCAGCAGCAGCCTTGCTTCGCCCCTCGAGTACCCAACCCTTGGGGGGGGGGGGGCTCGACCTCGTCCGATTGATGCTAATTATGACCTCAAAATATGGAGTTGAAGTGTTTCAGCATTTTGGAAGAAGGATCACGACCTTCCGTTTTGGGAGTATTGCGTAGGAACCAGAATGTAGAATGCAGATCGGCGAGGTGTGTTGGTGTTCTAGTACGCCTTCGGTGGTATAGAAGGATTCAGGGACGGCGATAGGTATGCTGCACTCCTTTGGAAGGGCCGCTCCCGCGCTTATGATATGTCGGGGAAGGGATTTCGGGTAAGGTAATGAGTTTAGGGTCGGCGACCGACCCGACGGGGAGAATACTTACCAGATGTTGTTCAAGTGTGGTTCCGACTAGTCAGTCTACGGCTCGCGGGGAACACTGAACCGTGAGAATTGAATCCTGCAAGCCACTATGCACACACTTGTGTTTGAAGTTGTCGAGTGATCATGTGTGATGTCGTCGGGGAGTGGTTGAGGGCGGTGGTGGGGTTACATTTCCGGACTCGTTGCCGCACATATCCGGGCCTCACCTGGACGCCACCGGGGAGGAAGGGCCTGGCGTCCCGGGACATGCTGCACCGTGTGTTGACCGAGCTGCTTACTCAGCTATGGACTGCGCTTGCTGTCAGTCATTGATTGTAATACTGTGATATAAATGACCCCCACGCACCGCAGCGAAACATAAAAAATATCAACATCAAGTCTGGTGGTGAGGGTGTGAATTCAGTGTGATGAAGATGGCATCTAATGTCAGGCGAGTGGTACATGGATGGATGTATATCGGCGGTATATTCACACCTGCAAGTGCTGAGCCAATGGTAAGAGCAGCTTCCGATACAGACACAATCCAAGCCTATTGTCAAATTAATGCTGATGCCTGGGAGCTGAACGGCTTGTCACTGCCTTAACTCCTGAGCAGTAAGCACCACCGGAGTGTTAAGCCTTGATCGGCGAATATCTCACACAGTAAGCTCTCAAGGTGGAAAACTGGCCCTATAGAGTTTCGCATCTTGATACCTCAAAGCAATTATCATATCCTGGCATTGTTCGAGTCGTCAAAATCGCAAACAAAACTGCCGACGTGGAGACGGCAGAGACATCTCGCCAACCGAAAAAGGATCTTTTCCCCTGTCGTCGCTTGTGTATCCACGAAGGGGCCGGTTGATATCCACGATTTCCTCGAGGCGTAACTGAAGCAAACACGGGACGTCCCTTACCATTGCCCCCCGCAGACCTGCCATTGGAACCTGCAACTTCGACACCAAGCTCGACGACCAGATGTGCAGAAAGGGCGGAGTTCATCATGAGACCCAGGGGACCTGCATTTCCTGTGAAGGTGGGTATCACCATGACAACTTCGCCCAGCTTCATAGATAGGTTGTGATATGCACGTTTGTGCAACAAAACGGAGACACTGTTTGACATCCATTACAAGGCAGACTTGAGGTTCGAGTTTGCCAGCGAGGCGATACAAAGGAACGGTAGGTGATCAAGGGGCTGGTCGATGAGCAGCCGACCGCCAGGGCCTAGATGGTGGGATGAGACCACCAAACAAACACCTGTGGTAAGCAAGCACAACGTGCAGATTGATAGTATGAGGGAACCAAATTACCAAGAATAGAAGGCGTGATATCAAATGAACAATGTGTGCTCATGTAGATCTTGCGACCGTTGGTGATGAACGGACATGTCGTGTCAAAAGAACCCTGCTCTCGCTCGGCAGTTTGATATGGCAGTTTGATATGGCAGGTGAAGGGCTGGAGGGTAGTGTCGAGAGGTGTTTTTTCAGTTGCTGTTAAGGGAAGGGATTGTTGACTTTCTTTGTTTACATGCCCCGTAGATTGCGAGGGGCAATGCTGCGCGGTCTATCCCGTCAACATGGGCTGGGAAACTAGGTACCTAGTAAATAACCCTTCGCCGGGGACATGGTTCATCCTTTCCCAGTTGCAATCCCATGTTAGGCCTCATTGGAAAAGAGCAGTCCAACCCATGGCCTCATAATCGGAGCGCTGGTGCGCGATGAAAGTAGGCGCTGTCGCCGATCTCCTTTCAAGTCACTTCTCGAAGTTATTCTAAATCACGATCTCCTCGTTAGAAGCAGTCCCGTACAGAAAGCAACCATAGCAAACGGGAAGGCAAGCATATCCACCTCTCTCGGTAACATCTTTGGGGTCCTGGCAGTTGACAAACAGGTTTGGGTTGGGCCTTAAGTCCATCTGAGCTTGAGGATAGCATCGCGAGCAAGCGAAAGTTGTGAAAAGGACAGCAACGCCAGACAGCACAGAACTGGATTACAAGAAGAGACAAGAGTTTTCAAGCAGCACGGAATCTGATAGCTTTGAATTTCACAAAAACTCAAGCGGTAATTCCTAAGAGACACATTAGCACCATGAGAGACACACGGAATGCATCAATACCTCAACGCAGTTAAAAACTCATCAAGAAGTGAGATGGCCTGAAACAGCAACACTCGTCTTGCATAAAAAACCAAACATTTCGGCCTGTTCTGGAATCTCTGGTATCCTCTCATAGTCAGAATCACCAAGAAATTCTACTAGTCCGCTCAAACTCAGCGAACTCCGTGAAGATACATTTTCCAGTGGTCAGCTACAACAAAACACTCACCAGAACGTATAAACATGCCTGACTCCGCAATCACCCCTCTCTCCTGCACCTCCCCTAAGAAGGGGTATTCTTCGCCTGCGTCCAAAAACTATCCATCTTCACCCTCGCCAAAAACTCCCTCGCCTCCTGATCCGTCTCAAAGACCTTGCTCCCCCACTTCTTGAACGCCTGCGCCTTCGTCTCTCCCTCGAAAAGCAACACACACTTATTCCCCGACAAGTCCTTCAGCTGTCCCTTTTCATCCTCTGGTTTCAACCACTCCCTCACCGTAGCCTGCGTAGCAGTGTTGTACGCCCCAACCTGAACATTCCTTTCCCTCGACGGTAAAGCCTCTGTCCAGTCAATTCTCCTCGTCATCAGCTTCTTGTAGTTGTTGATACTGTGCTCGCCTCCCTCTACAATCACCAGGTTGAATTTCGGATGCATGATACAGACTCCGTTGAGCCCGTTTTGTTGTGCATTCAGTGAGATCTTGTACCTGTGTTGTCCGTTGGCTAGACTGTTGATCTTGAAAACCAGGATATGGATGCCCTTGGCTGCGTCCTTTGCTTGGTTGGCGGCGAGTTTCTCATGCCGCTGCTCCTTTGTCAACTTACGCTCCTCGTTCGCCTCCAAGTGCTTGTCAAGACGCGCCGCAATCTCCTTCCTGACTCGGGCTTCGACTGCCGTGGGATCACGAACAGCCTCGTCACCGAGTACACGCATCAAATTCTTCTGTTTGACCTTTGGCGGGGGAGCTTCCATGAGACCGAGTTTCATGAGGGTTTGCTTTTCTTTGAGATCAGCCATGCGCCTGTTTCTCCGGAGCTTGGCCTGTTCCTTTGGCGTTAGGTACATTGGCTTGGGCTCGTGGGCCAGCTTCTCTTGCGGTGGTTCGATTGCAACGGGATGCTGGATATATAGAGTGATGATACTGTCGAGAGTGTCGATCTTGAGCGAGTCTGGGAAGCCGCTGTAGTCCTTGCCGTCGATAAGACCTTCGTCCCACCATTCCAGATCTGGGGGGGCTTCCACCACAAATGCCTTCTCCACGTCGCGGTCTTCGTCTAATCCTGCCTTGCGTGCTTGATCGGCGATTCTCTTCTTCATTTCCTCCAGCTGGGCCTGTCGTCGGAGGGCTTGTGCCTGGGCGATGTATTTTCCTTTCTGGTTGAAGATGAGCTGTCGCGATTCTCTTGCCTTTCCTGTTGGGCCATGGCTTGGCTCGAGATATGGGTTTGGTCGAGGGCCATCGTTGGAAGATCCGGGCATGCCAAAGGGCTTTGGTTTGGAGTTCTTTGAGGAGTCGGGAACCGGCCGCTGGCCATGAGCTGATCGAGATGAGTCGGCGGGTTTGATCGGGGCGCCGAGGTCAGCGAGGGCCGGATGTAAAGGGGTGTTGAGTCCAAGTCCACCCTTTGCTTTGGAACTCCCGACGGCATTCGCAACGCGTGCCTTCAAGGCGGCAAGTCGATCGGCTGCTGATTCGGTTTTCTGGATTCTGGAGGACGGGTCATGACGGGGACCAAGTCCGCCGCCCATTTGCTGATTGCGGTCCATGGCGGCGCAGTGTGCAGCGGGTGATGGTCGTCAAAGGAATTTGGCTGTGGTTCGGTGGATGACTCGGTTTACACGTTGCGAAGACCGGTTTGAGGACGGTTGGGTGTGCTTTGGGCAAGATGACAGACAATCTTGGGGAAGATGATGCGCGACGAGAGCTTGCTTTGATGCGCTGCAACGACCTGAGATCAGTGTCCGGCAGGCAGCCAGAAGCGGCTTGGCATGAAAGCGGTGGGCATGCAATGCATGGATAAACTGCCCCACCTCTATTCTGCCTCGGTCCACCGCCAAAAAATATTCTTCCCGTCTCAGAGCTCAGCTCCAATTCCCCACCAATTGCCTGTGCAGAGAGAGAGCCATAGCGAAGAGAAGCTGCCGCTGTTTTTCTGCCTCCTTTCGCGACAGCGCGTCTCTGGCCTCTACATCACCAAATATTCCGGTTTCTGTCTATCATGCGATCTGAGTAGCGCGGTGCTTCGCCAGATCGCCCAACATGAACATTTCACAGCCCGTGTCGTCGACTCTCGACAGCGTCGACTTCCAATTCCTCACATCCGACGAGATCCGCGCAGTCTCTGTCAAACGCATTGAAAATCCCGTCACCTTCGACACACTTCTCAATCCTGTTCCAGGCGGTCTCTATGACCCAGCTCTCGGCTCATGGGGCGATGCGCCGTAAGCACCCTCGGCTTGTTCTGCAATGCGCCGGCTTTGGCTAATCGTTTCATGTGTGTAGATGCCGCACCTGCGGTCTGAACCAGGCACAATGCCCTGGTCATCCAGGTCATATTGAGCTTGCTGTACCTTGTTACCACCCAGTATTCATGGACCAGGCTTTCCGATTCCTTCGTTCCATGTGTATTTACTGCCATCACTTTCGAACGGCCCGCCGCGAGATCCACCGCTTTGCCTGCATGCTCAAGCTTCTTCAGTACGGCTTGCTCCATGAAGCGCAGCTGATCGATGCCATCTCCGAGAGCGAACTCGGAGGAGAGAAGCTCAAGAGCATGAGGCTCCCCGACATCCCCAACATGGACGACGAGGCCGAAGACGAGGGGAGCACAACAGATGTCACCATGAGAGCTAGAGAAGCCTATGTTCGCCAAGTGTTGAAGGAGCACAGGACGCGCCTCAGTGCGGGCGATATCAAGCGAGCGAAGCACGAAGGTGCGGCCGAGATGAGGAGAGCCTTGTTGAAGGAGCTCTTCGCCACGTTGGTGAAGGAGAAGAGATGCAAGAGCTGCGATGGCATCAGCCCAACGCTGCGCAAGGACCGCTATGTCAAGATCTTCGAGCGCGGCCTCAGTTCCAAGGACAAGGCCACTATGGCTCAGGCTGGGCGGAAAAGCCGCGACGCCTTGACCATGACCAACAAGAACAAGAAGGATGCCGACGGTGAGGATGAAGGTGTTGCTGATATGGAATCAGAGCCAGAACCAGAAGATGAAGGAGAGGGGGATAGTCTCGACGAGGGCGGTGATGTGGCTATGAAGGATGCCGAAACCGAAACCCAGACAAAGTCGAAAACGAAAGCCTCAGCCCCCCAGCGCTTCCTCAACTCGATGGAAGTCAAGGGCCGCCTCGACCTCCTCTTCCAAGCCGAGCGGGAAATCATGTCGCTGATTTTCAACACTCGCCCACCGACCAAGGCTTCTCGCTCGAAGCCTATCACCGCCGACATCTTCTTCATTCACACGCTCATGGTTCCTCCAAACAGGATGCGCCCAGAGGCTCGGATGGGTGAGAACCAAATCACCGAAGCCGAGCAAAACAGTCTCTACAAGAAGATCATTGAAAAGTCTTCCGCTGTTGGACAGATCTCTAGAGAGATTGCCCTCGGGAAGAAAGCCGTCGTTCAGGAAGGCAGGAGACCACGGGATTTGAACCACCTTTACCAAGCCTGGACTGAGCTTCAGGAAGCTGTCAACAGTTTGATGGATCGCGACAAGAACCCGATCCAGGGTAACGCTGGCAAGAGAAACGAGGAGGGTATCAAGCAGAAGCTTGAAAAGAAGGAGGGTCTGTTCCGCAAGAACATGATGGGCAAGCGTGTCAACTTTGCCGCTAGATCAGTCATCAGTCCTGACCCCAACATCGAGACGTCCGAGATCGGTGTCCCACCCGTCTTCGCGGTGAAGCTTACTTACCCAGAACCTGTTACTCATTTCAACTTCAAAGACCTCCAACAGGCCGTGATCAACGGTGTCGAAAAGTGGCCCGGTGCTGCGGCTATCGAGAACGAAAATGGCCAGGTTGTCAACCTGCGAAACAAGTCTCTGGAGGAAAGAGTAGCTCTGGCCAACACGCTTCTCGCCCCATCGACCAACTCCTTTGCCAATCTCAGGGGCAAGAAAGTACTCCGTCACCTCACCAACGGTGATGTTGTCTTGATGAACCGTCAGCCTACACTTCACAAGCCATCTATGATGGGTCACCGTGTCCGTGTTTTGCCAGGCGAGAAGACGTTACGTATGCACTACGCCAACTGTAACTCGTACAACGCCGATTTCGACGGTGACGAGATGAACATGCATTTCCCACAAAACGAGATTGCTCGTGCCGAGGCTCTCCAGCTTGCCAACACAGACAGCCAGTACGTCAGTGGAACAGGCGGCTCGCCATTGCGCGGTTTGATTCAGGACCACTTGTCAGTCTCTGTCATTCTCTGCAACAAGGACACTTTCTTCAGCAAGGGCGACTACATGCAACTCGTGTACGCCGGTCTCCGCCCCGAAAGTGGGCACATCACGGGAGAAAAGATCCTGACAGTACCCCCAGCCATGATCAAGCCAAGACCACTCTGGACTGGAAAGCAGGTTATCGACACCGTTCTGAAGAATATCAAGCCAGCCAACTGTGGTGATCTCTGGATGCAGTCTGGCACCAAGATCAAGGCAAGAAGCTGGGGCGACCATTCTCCTGAAGAAGGCGAGGTCGCGGTCCGGGATGGAATTTTCGTTCACGGTATTCTGGACAAGTCACAGCTCGGTTCCAGCGATGGCGGCCTTGTCCACGCTGTTCACGAAGTCTACGGCCCCGGCGTCGCGGCTAAGCTGCTGAGTTGCCTGGGTCGCCTCCTCACACGCTATCTCGCCATGGTTGCATTCACTTGCGGAATGGATGATCTGCGTATGACACCAAAGGGCGAACAGGACCGCAAGGAGTTGATCAAGGAAGCTAAGCATATTGGTCTCGAAGTTGCGGCCAAGTACGTATCTTTGGAGGAGCAAAAGCCAACCAAGGATGACCCTCTGCTTCTGGAACGCCTCGAGGAAGTTTTGAGAGACGACAAGAAGCAGGAAGGCCTCGAGTTGTTGACCAATCAACGGGTCGCCAAGCTCTCTTCCGAGATCACAAGAGTCTGCTTGCCCGCCGGTCTCGAGAAGCCTTTCCCCCACAACCACATGCAGTCTATGACAATCTCCGGTGCCAAGGGTTCCACTGTCAATGCCAACCTGATCAGTTGCAACTTGGGACAGCAGACACTAGAAGGTCGTCGTGTGCCCGTCATGATTTCAGGTCGAACTCTACCCAGTTTCCGCCCCTTCGACACAGATGCACGGGCTGGTGGCTATATTGTGCAGCGTTTCTTGACTGGTATTCGCCCACAGGAGTACTACTTCCATCACATGGCCGGTCGTGAAGGTCTGATCGACACAGCCGTCAAAACGTCGAGATCCGGTTACTTGCAGAGATGTCTTGTCAAGGGAATGGAAGGCTTGGCTGTCTCTTATGACAGCTCTGTCAGAGACTCTGATGGGTCTGTCGTGCAGTTCTTGTACGGTGAGGATTCGGTCGACATCACCAAGCAAAAGTATCTGAACGATTTCGAGTTTGTACTGCGCAATCTGGACAGTGAGCTGCCACAGTTGAGGTTCCACGAGGACGGCACTCAAGCACTCTTTGAGAACAAGGATGAGATCATCAAGCGGATGAAATCGGCCATCAGGTCGATTGGCACCCGCAACCCACAAGACCCCGTCACGTCCAAGCTTGAGCCTTCCCGATATGGTTTTGCCACCTCGGAGAAGTTCTTCAACCACATGATGGACTACCTCAAGACAAACAAGCACGGTCTGATCAAGGAGAAGGGATCCAAGGAGAAAGCCGGCCAGATCTCCCGCAAGACCGCCGAAAAGATCCTGGCAGCCAAGTATATCAGGTCTCTTGTTGAGCCCGGTGAGGCTGTCGGTATCACAGCAGGCCAGTCTGTCGGTGAACCTTCGACTCAGCTGACGCTCAACACGTTCCATTTGGCTGGTCACAGTGCAAAGAACGTCACACTGGGTGTGCCTCGTCTTCGTGAAATTCTCATGACGGCCTCTGCCAACATCAGCACTCCATCGATGACACTTGTTCTCAACGAAGAGCTTTCGGAACAGGACGGTGAGCGGTTCGCCAAGAGTATCAGCGTCCTGCCTCTGTCGCACGTCACCAAGGATGCAACTGTGGTGGAAAAGGTCGGGGTTGGCATCGCCCACAAGGTGGCCAAGACCTTTGACATCAGACTGCGCTTTTTCGAGAGTGAGGAATACTCCAAGATGTACGCCATCTCGATTTCCGATGTGCTCGGAACCGTAGAAAAGAAGTTCATCCCGTTGCTTTGCAAGATCATCCAGAAGGAGCTCAAGAAGATTGACAAACAGAAGGGATCTGCCTCGGCGCCTGAAATCGGTGTCAAGGTTGGCACTATCGAGACGGCGGCGGCAACCTCTTCGGGCGACAGGGAGGCTCGTGGTGGTGACGATGACGATGATGACGACGACGAGGATGATGCCGGCGGTGCCAAGCGGAGAGCCAACCGGTCCGAGGCTGTTTCTTATGGTCCCAACGATGACGACGACGATGCCATTCAGAGGCAACTGCAGCGGGAGACTGAAGAGGCCGATGATGGGGAGGACGATGACGAGGCCTACGGCGGCAGCCCGCGACCCGAGCGCCGGCGCGACGACAAGAGCCTTGAAGCTGAGGCAGCCTCCCGCGTCAAGGAGAAGAACGAGGACGTAGCATCGTTCAAGGCCGATACTGTCGGCGGCGAGTGGGTCAAGTTCACACTCGAATACCCAGCCTCCATGCCCAAGCTGCTTATGCTCAACCTCGTCCAGGAGGCGGTCAACAAGGCCGTCATCCAGGAGATTGCGCACATTGGCAATGCGACCCTTGAGCCTATCAAGAAGAGAGATCCCGCGACTGGGGAGGAGGTGATCAAGGAGCTGCTGGTCCACACCGAGGGTGTCAACCTGAGGGCTATGCAGCTGTATGCTGATTACATCAACCCCAACAAGCTCCAGACCAACGACATTGCCCAGGTGCTCGAGTTTTATGGTGTCGAGGCGGCGAGGGCGAATATTGTGAGGGAACTGTCGGGCGTTTTCGACTCTCACGGTATTGCTGTCGACAAGCGCCATTTGAGCTTGATCGCCGATTACATGACCAGGAATGGCGGGTTCAGTCCTTTCAACCGCATTGGTTTGACGGGCAATGTCTCGCCTTTTACCAAGATGAGTTATGGTATGTTTTTTGTCGTCCTGTCCTCTTTTCTATGGTCAGATGCTAATATTGTCTGCGATAGAAACTACCGTCGGCTTCCTCAAGGATGCGGTCATGGACGGTGAATGGGATCCCCTCATGACACCTTCGTCGAGACTGGTTGTGGGTAAATTGGGCGGCTTGGGAACTGGAGCGTTTGACTTGCTCACGCAGGTACCGACTGCTCATGGAGTGGCCAATTTTTAGAATCTGCGGGGGGGTTGTTGAGAGAGAGGTCGGTTGTATATAGTTGATGGAACGGGTTTGGTGGGCTTGGCATGGGGCATGGTGTTGTTTGGTAATGTGAAAAGGTACTGCGTTTGATCTAGTTAATAAATCGAGTCAAGGCTTTTGAGTTTAAACGGGTTGGCTATACGTTTGGTGCAGTTTTGATGGGCGAGGATATAGTCGTCTGTGGGATATGTGGCCTTGTTCTCATGCTTAAGAATGAACAACCGGGTCCTTTTGCTTGGAAAACTACAAGCAAAAACGTGTTGATCTCCCCGACTAAAGACCTACTTTGATAATTCCCCCAACCTCACCCCTTGGCAGTCAAGGAGTCGACAGGACTCTACCGAGCTTGACCTGTCCTCGACCTGACCAGTCAAATCTCAGTCTTTCTCCCATCTACCAAGGTCAATTTCAAGACTCCAACCCTACAGGCCCGACTGTGGCGGGCTTAATATATATCACCCACACAGCACACCAAACGACTAGAGCACGTCTTGTTTTGTCGTCCTCACATCACGTCTCATCTCCACGCCACCTCTAGCTTCACCAGCCCGACGCCAGGGAAGCAAATCCCCACCTATTCATCAAGCGCTTCAGTGCTAGGTGGGGTGAAGGTGGTGCCCGTCTTGGTCGGGGGGGGGGGGGGGGGGAGGTCACTGTTTAACTGCGAGGATGAGTCGCTTGGGAGCGCTGCTGGGTTGTAGAGCGGCGAGACGCGGGAGGGAAGGGGGAAATCCACTGCGAGCTGGTCTTGTGGATGGTGAAGGGTAGCAGTGCAGGGGGGGGCAGAGGGATCAAGGCGAGGCTGTCACGGTGGCCCTTCGTGGCGACTTGAGGCTGTGATTTTTGGGAAGGGAGGGTGATGTGTTCATGTTTGCCCACTGACGAGGTATAAATGGGATGCGATGGGAGGTGCAGAGGGATAGAGATGTGATGTGTGCTGGGGAGAGCAGAATGAAATTTTGGGGCGTAGGATTAACATAGGTGTGGATGAATGAATATCGAGGATACCTTCCAGGACTAACGGGCTCATGCTTCAAAATTGAAGCAATTGTGGTTCTCATTCAACTATGTGGGAAATCCAAACTCACGGGTCTTCTATTTGGACCTATCCCAATGTTTTGACATTGTTTTTGTCAATTTCCCCCTTTGGCCACGGGAAGAGTTGACTTGAGCCCAAGAGGCGTTGATGATGTCGTCAAGTGTGGATCCGACGAATGGATGGTGCCAAGACCCCAGCATAATGAGGGGCGCCACTGAATGACAAAGACAACTTCAAAGTGTGCCCATATCATATCATTTGGGTAAGATAACGAACAGCTATGTTCCCTCTGGAGCTTTGTTCAAACTTGATCAAGCCGTTGTGCGAAAGGTTGCTTTGTCGGCTGTTCACCGAAGCCTGGGCTCGGGTAGATGACATCGTCTGCGGAGTCAGCATTGGGCTTTTGGCTCAAGGTACCTACTACATTCCCAATAGTAATCCTAGATAGACTTTGGGGGCGTCACCAAAGAGAGAAGAGTCCTGCTATAGAATTGTGTTGTCATACCGGTCGAAGTTGAACACATTTCCGTGCGCGCGTTCGATCAACATTGTCTTTGCTCTGGGAATAATTGGCTGATAAGATAAGAAGTGATGGCTAAACAGCAGCTTCTCACTACCTTAAAACCTCTCTCTACCACCCAACAGCATGGGCTGATTTTATGGAAATCTCTAGCAGCCCGTTGATATCGAGCAACGTCTCATCTCATCGTCTCTCTCATGCTCAGACTCTTTAGAATGTCTTTCCATCAAAGCCATCGGTACCGCGTTTCCGTCCCCGCCTCCCGCCTCTCAGAAATGCGGGGGAGTTCCTCGGCTTGAACGACCAGTCAAGTTGGGGTAGAACGGCTAGGGGATAGCGTCGGCCAGCCCCCCGGGACAAGGGGACGACGTCAATCGAGTAATGTAGATTAATATAAGTTGTTGACCTAAGGGCGCACCCTTTGCTTGTATTCACTGCATTGTTTCATTACCTGCAGTTATTAATTTCTAAAAGATATCAAGGTACCACCGCTGCACCATTCCCTCCTACCGTCCATCACCACCACCACTACCACCTCACTCACCGGTGTCTAACATAATGCTAACCCGAGTACTCCAGATGGCCACCATACCCAAAATCACCCTCTTCGTTGACACCGTCAGCCCCTTTGCCTACGCAGCATATCACATCCTCCGGGTACTTTTCCCACCTTCTCCCTCCATCATCTCATATCTAATCCTCTTCTCATGTTAGAACGACCCAATCTTCCGCAATGTAGAAGTAGAATACATCCCCATCTTCCTGGGGGGCTTGATGCACAAATGCGGTAACACCGCTCCCATCAAAATCAAGAGTATTTCCTCCCCCCCCCCATTCCTTTCCCTTTCGGAAGCGGCCTTTTACTTCCAGCTATGAAGCACCTTCCCCGCACACTTGATGGT